GGAGTGCTGTTTCATCCTTACGGGTTCTGTGCTCTGTGTGGGAGTTGCTTTACGATAGAGCAGGGGTCAAAGGGTAAGCGTAGAGGTTATAGAATATAATGGAAGTGTTATTAATGGGATTTATTACAAGCTATGTATTAGCTTGACCTGTGTGTTGTGCCTATGTATTAAATTAATTGACGATTCTATGGCGCAATGGGAAAAATTTGCGGCGCCGAATGAAGGACGCGGTTTCGAATCCCGCACGAAACAAGTATTTTTTACGGCCTACAAATAATTGTTTCTGGTCTGTATGTTTGTGTTTGTGAAGTTTATGCATGTAAACTGCCTCTATGGTACAGTACAAAATCCCTAGTGTAGGGTAACGTTTCTTTTTTTTTTTAAATAGACCATATCGATTACTACCTTGAGCCGGAGAGCATACACTTGAGCTACGTTCTTATCGAACTAAATACTTTAAGAATTACTAATACTCCTACTCAATATACGTGGTAGAGCCATGCTGTAGATATATTAATTGTATAGTAGCACGAATGGGTCGGCTCTACCGTGGAAAGACCACGCTCTCACAGAATACCAGCGTAAAATAGCAGCTTAACGCTGCTGTTGTTTCGTATGGTGAGTGTAGAGAACCGGAGACCCTTTTTACTGGATAAGAGGCATTCCATCTTAGTCCTCAGGGGTGACAACGCATCTGCATTTTGATTCTTAATTGAATATAAATGTAGATGTCTATGAACAGTATTCACTTACCATCAGGTGGACTGTGTGTTCGTTTGTCAACATTATGCTATATATATATATAAAAATGTTATTATATAATAATATATCGGTTAACTTTGTACACATAAACTATCCAATCGTTTCCATTCATTTTAAGGTTGTCTGGATGAGATCGCTTTTTAGCGATAAGATCGCCTAACTGTGGTGTAGTACCTTAGTACCTGTTGGTCAAGTTTTTACTTCTGTAATCTGATTTTGCCCCTTGTTTTTATGATCTCTAATAAAGTATCATCATTATCATAATCATTACAGTCCTTCACAAGTCCACTGCTGAATATAGGCCAAGGAATGCCACAAAGCAACGGTCCTGAGCCACTTAACTTCCTGCATGTCTTACTAAGTCGTCACTCCAGCTCTAGTGAGGGGCCGCCCTACAATTTGCCCACCGGTACTAGGCACCTACTCGAGAACCTTTCTTCACCATCGGTTGTCGATTCTTCGACCTATATGGCCGGCTAATTGCCACTTCAGCTTACTAATCCGTTGGGCTAGGTCGCTTAGTCTGTTTTTATTGTGGATATCCTTATTTTTAATTTTATCACGCAGAGAAACTCCGAACATAGCTCTCTCCATAGCTTCCTAAGCAACCTTGAACTTCCTCATACGGCCATCAGTGAATCACCATGTCTCAGATCCATAAGTCACCACTGACAACATGCACTGGTTATACAATCTTGTTTTCAGGTTTTTAATATAGAATTGGAGTGACAAGTGAGCACACAGTCCACCTGATCGTAAGTAGTTGCTGTGGCCCATAGACATCTACATCTATCTTCGATTGCGAATTAAAATGCAGATGCGTTGTCAGCCGCGAGGACTAAGATATAATGCCTCTTTTCCAGTAAAAAGGGTCTCCGGTACTCTACACCCACCATACGTAACATAGCAGCATTAAGCTGCTATTTTACGCTGATATTCTGTGAGAGCGTGGTCCCGGTCGAGCCGACTCATTCGTGCTACAACTATACTACTAATATAGCTGCAGCATGGCTCTACCATGTATGAAATTTGTTGAGATTTGATGATCCTAATGAGAATACTACTAGATAATAGCCATGAAAATATTGTATTGTCGCCGGTTCCGCATTGTGATTCTTAATCGAGGATGAACGTAGATGTCTATGGGCCACAACAACTACTTATCATCAGGTGGACTGTGTGCTCGTTTGTCACCCTATCCTATAAAAAAAATGCGCGCTGTTTTTTTTAAACTCTATTAGATTTAACCCTTACAGTATAAAGCTACGTATATATACTCTAAGATATAAACATATTGTGGTATATAACTACAATACCATATATGAGGTCGGGTAATGGCCTAGATTTGAATGACGTGACGTTAGAACGTTAAAACGTCTAGACCCGGAACAATTGTTTGTAGGATAAAAAAAAAACACTCGTTTTATGCGAGATTCAACTCTCGATAACCTAGCGCCGAAACCGTCCATAACAAAATTAAAAAAAATATGTAGAGTAATATTCCGCACATTGAAGTTAGTGTTGGCATGGAAGCTACCAACTAACAATTATTATTTTTTAAATAAAGTTACCGTCAATAACCCTTTCTCATGTATCGTGGGGACAGTTTACATATTTGGCCCTGGAAAAAGTTTCTTCGTATTTTATATACAAATTCATGACATTTTTTTAAGTTTAAATATATTTAATTATAATGTATATGTGCCTTTTTGTTTGATCACTTGTTGTTGCCATCTTGTAGGAATTTACATAATCCCGTTGCTGTTAATTTTTGATAAAAAAATACGACAAGTAGTTTTGACAGTCCTCTGTTGATGATGACATGAAACTACCCAAAGAATTTTAAAGAGACCGAAACAGTTGAAAATATGTAGTTACTTAAGCTCTCTCAGTTTTTGCTGAGTGGCAAAAATGTGTTTGGTCTCGCGTTATCATGATGAAAGACCACTCCTTTCCCGTTGATCAATTCCCGCCGTTTTTCTCAATTTCTTGCTTGAGTCTCATTAGTTGTTGGCAGTAGAAATCCGAATCGATGGTTTTGTCCGGCGGTTATAGCTCATAATAAACGATGCCCTTCCAATCCCACCATACACACAGCATCACCTTTTTGCGTGTTAATCCGGTTTTCGTTACTGTCTGTGGAGCTTGACTACCCTTTGAACATGACCTTTTACGCACGTTCTTCTCGTAGGTGATCCACTCTTCGTCAGTCTTTTCAAAAATGGTTCGGTTTCTTTACGTTCCAATAGAGGATCGCAAATCAGTACACTATTCATTAGGTTTCTTTCAGTGAGCTCGTGTGGTACCCAAACATCGAGCTTTTTTGTATAGCCAGACTTTTCCAAATGGGTCAAAACTATTTTGTGGTCAATCCCCAATTCCTCTGCTATGTCGTAACTTACTAATATGCCGATCTTGATTCACTTTTTCAGAAATGGCTTCAACTTTATCCGTATGGGGCGACCAGAGCGAGCTCCGTCTTTGACATTAAAATTCCCGGAGTGAGAACGCTTCAACCAACTTTGTGCTACATTTACTGACACTGCATTAGTTCCATAAACGACACAAATTTTTTTCGCGGCTTAAATCGAATTTTTCTTTTTTTTAATAATACTTCAGAATATATCAAATTTCTTCGTTAGATTCACTCAATTTGGCGGACAGAAAAACAATTAAAAAATGGCGGCAAAGTGTTTTTTAGTTTTTCTTTTTCTTAATGTCCTATAAGTATTGATATTAAAGTCAGCCAGATACTAACAGTACAACCAACTAAATTTTTCTTCAATTTTATACAAACAAAATACAAAAAAAAAAAACTTTTTCTCCGACCTATTACATAAATTGCACAAGAACATGAGACATCCACACCCGAAACAATTATTTGTAGGGTATGGAAATATATGGTGCGTACGGGATTTGAAACCAATCCTTCGGCGTTACAATTCAATGCCAAGTAAGTCCGCGACAAAGACGTCAAACTAAATATTCTAAACTTTTAAAAATCTATAAGTGTAGTATTTGAACTGTTTAATATCATAAGTACAGGACGTAGCAGAACTGGATAATTCTTACTAGATCGAGTTCACATGTTCTTGAAACGTTCCTATATAGGTAGGTTTCCTTACGTCGTTTTCCTTCACATCAGCATTTTTATTTATCTGGAAGAGTCATATTGTTTAATTAGGAATAATAATGACGATGATATAAAACTTTCAAATAAATTTGTCGGTACGATACGCGCCCTACCTACTGTAAGTTAATTATATACTATGTCTATAACTTTCGTGCAAGTGCAAGCAATAAGTAATTGACAAATATTCACCGCAATCTGATGAACGGTATGGCAGCGCATAATGTACAAACAAACAAACATTAATTTTTATATATTACATCATATAAAACTTAAGGTTCTTAAAAAAATACCGAAATATTGATCAAATACATGGTATGGTATACATTTTAAATACCTAATGCTAAATCAATAATTCATATCCAGCCAAAGTTCATAAAAATTACAAGTTATGTATATGTTGAAATAATAATAAAATTGCAATTAACTATTTCGTTCGTATCAGTGCCACCGGCAATTGGTCCACAACCTTATTTATTACTAAATCATTAATTTCAGGGGGATAGGGGGGTTGGGGGTTGGTACATGATCACTTCCAAACTAGTAGACTGTAGTACCAACATATATTATCCAACATCTACCGTCATGTTCGATTCCACATCTAAACCTACCTTTGAATATTCATACCAACGCATTGAACGACGAAAAACTCACAAAGACCGCCACCGCCGCCCGCCCAAACAATGATTTCCGTTTCCGCCGGCAATATGGCGGAAATACACCTATTTGTAGCGGATAGTTTCCCATCAACTTGCGTGCTTTTATACGCGACATATTTGAATAGGCGTCGCGCGAAATCATCTCGGTGTGTCACTTGCAATTTAAAAAAAAATGTTGGAGTCTCATTCAAAGCGGGATGTAGAAAATTTACATTTCATGTTTCAACCCTTTTATATGGCTGACGTTCACAAGGACCGTATCATCGAAGGTTTGGATTTGTGTATGTTCTCTTCATCGGGTTTTAAAATGAATAGACGAGACAGTTTTGATTGCGTGGATATATGGGTGCATGGTATGTTGCTCTAATATTTATCCTTATATATATATATATATATATGTGACTGAACTTCCACTAAATGGCTGGACAGATTTCGATGTAATTTTGTGTTTGATTAAGTTTTTTTTTTTATATAGTATAAGGGTGACAGGCGAGCACACAGTCCACTTGATGGTAAGTGGCTACCGTGACTCATAGACATCTACATCTATCCTCAAAATGCAGATGCGTTGTCAGCCGTGAGGACTAAGATGGAATGCCTCTTTTCCAGTAAAAAGGGGTCTCCGGTTCTCTACACTCACCATGCGAAACACAGCAGCATTGAGCTGCTATTTTACGCTGGTATTCTGTGAGAGTGTGGTCCTTCCCCGGTCGAGCCGTCCACTAAGTTGATTCTAGAATGGTTTATATTCACAATTGGAGCCGGTAGGTTGGTAGTGTTGCTGTCGAGATCCAGAAATCATTCGAAGCCGGGGCTTATCAACCCCATTCCTGTTGATCTGCCGGCGCTGTTGTTGTCTCGGATATATGCGAAAGCATTCCCGTGGCTCTGTCAAAATGCAGACAAGGTGTAACACCGTGGTATTTTAGGGTGTGAGTCCCATGTAACGCGTCCTTGTCCTCACGAGGTGGGCACAAACGTAGGCATTTCCCCGCTTAAAAAGGTTAGTAATTGTAAGACATAATGTGTGTGCACGATATCTAGCAGGACTCAAACACTTCTATTTTATAAAATCAGCAATCCAGGCAAACACCGACCGAGCTTGTCTTTTTTTTTTCAAAGCTGACGTAACAGACGAATTTACAGTCCACTTGGTGAAAGGTAGCTATTGCAATCCAGAGATACATGTTGCGTTGCCCACTCTTGAAGACTAAAATGGAATGCCTAACATTCTGTAATTATGCTAGCTCTCTTTACCATTTAGAAGGAAAAATGTAAGTGGGTGGTACCTACCAAAACGCACTCCTGGGCAGAAAAGGACTTATCACCCAGTAAATCTGAATTTCTAGTGTGGCCGTAGGAAGGAAAAGTGGAGACCTCCCGCCGAGCAAGGTGTTCTGCCGGGGGAGCGGCCAACGCTCCGAGTGGTAGTTCGGAGCTATTCTATATATACTGCTCTTACTTCGAAATTTTGTTAACGCGATTTAGGCTTCGATGTGTTTCGCTTGTGACGCGACGGCAGCGCCGCCACATCACCCCCCTGCTCAGACCGGAGGTCGATAGTGCAGTCCGATTGCCGGTGCGTCCTTAATGCCGGTGGGGAATGCATGCTGTGTGCGTAAGGGCAAGTGACGCCGGTGCGAACGATATGCCGGTGTGTAATGCATGCCATACTACGCACTTGCAATTGATGCCGGTGAGAACGATGTATTGTGGTAACATGATGTCAATCTACACTCTCTAATACTCTGTTATTAATCACGTATCTGATAGTTGTATATCAACACGATGTAGATACTCGGGGCGTAGTAGTTAGTACGCTTGCTACTGCGCTCCGAGTCTTGGCTTTGATTCCTCTAAGGTTCACATGCACAAAGCAGTGCAAAAGCACACATTGGAGTCTGGTTGTTTTGTGAGTGTTTCTTTGGATCTGATACATGCAGTATAGCGCTTTTTTTACGTGCCGCCTCCCGGGAACAAGTACGGGTTACGTCGGACTCGCACCGACCAAACTACCAAGATGTTCCACCTACGACGCATATTGGCAAGACCACAGGAACACTTATGCACTCATCTGCAGTCCTCTAGCGCCGACCGCCCATGACTGCCAATTCTCGGGAGAGGAAAACTCCCCTTTTAAAACTCTCAAATAAGGCGCATTAAAACAAGGTCCGGGGTCTCCAACTCCAGCTGCGCAACTGTACCGTTGGTTGCAGGTGTCCATGGGATGCAGTAGCCCCTATGTTGACTAAAATTAACAATTTTATAAACACAGCTGCAAAAAAAACTGCATAACCTTCCCCCAATCGCTGTCTCTTATAAAAAAAAAACACGTAAAAAAGACGTGTAGGTTTATAAATAATATCTCTTCTGTAGTGTCTCAAAAAGCGTGTTTTATTATCTGTGAATTCTAAACAGATAATTAAACCTCTCAACCGAAGCTCGGTGAAATTAAATTAAGGCTTTACAAAAGTGTAAATAAGGTGAGTGAGATATAAATAAAAAAGTTGGCGTGAATTTCAACTCGGATGGGGTGAATGCAGAGGAGTTTCCATAGTGCATCACGGTACCAATTCTAGATAGGGATGGAGTCATCAAGTGGCAGGTTTTATTTCGATTATAGTGATGCAGCTTTTTATCGATATAAACATTTTCGCGCATGGTAAATTTGGATAATGTCACACGTTAGAGTAGATGTAGTGTAATTAACTTATGCTTCCCTTTCCTATGTGAGAGAGTTTTTGCAGTAATTAGTTCACCGCTCTGCTTCAGTGCGTGTTGGCAGACGGCACATATCCTCGAAATTCGAAATATTTTATAACTCAGACATACAGGTTTCCTCAAGACGTGCCTGCGCGGATCGAATCTTACTGCAAAACTTACGACGAGAACTTATTCACTGAGCTTCTGCATCTCTTGAGGCTCTATAAAAATTAGTAATTCAGGATTATTTGTCAATACGTTATTACATAGTATATACACCAATCATCAACATCATTTATCAAGTCATTAGTTTTTAACTTGCGATTCCTTTCGGTAGTCATCAGGGCAGAAACCTCAGCATTTGTGAGAGCTGTTGCCGAGCTCAGAGGCTGAACGCTCGCCTTCAATATCATAGTGCGCGTGTATCTCAAGTACGATCCCCGTTGGTGCCAGTGAAATTGCGACCGTATATCCATATTGTTTACGCCAGACGGAAGATTCCCGCAATGCAAAAGGCAAATACCGTTACAGGCAACTTTGTCAAAGGTGACAGATATCCGGTAGTGCGATTGTGACCATTAAGTCAAATTCCCCCTACAGCGGGGACCCTTACAAACTGATGAAAGAACATGAGAGCCAATACGTAGTGGAGTAGCGCGACGAACTTTTTCTTGCTCCAAAACTATCTCAAAAATTAGAAGAGGCCCGCACTGAACAGTGGTGTGTAATATGTTGTCACTCGTAGACTGTTTCTCTACATACACAAGCTTAATACGCACTTAAAAATTATATTTTAAATTTTACATTTATATCTATGTCAGTCAAAATATTCCCTATTATCATAAAAAAAATCCTCTAATTTTCCTGTAGCAGTGCTGCGGGTTATTAATCTGCCTACCAAACTATGATCACCACCGTTCATTAGGTACTTGAAAACGGCTCAGACTCGTATTAACCTGCGAACTGCTAGATTGCTTTCACTGATGATGAAATTATAATTATAGTAATTGAATTTGTTAATAACAGTACTATAGGTATATCGATGGTAGAATCTATCGACATTCCATCCAACACTAGATCATCGTCATCGACTAGTCTAGTGCACGCTTCGTCGCCTCCATGCGTACCAATGAATACGGGAGCGTTCTTTTGTGTAAGTCTGTCCCTTTTATATTGTACGATCACGAGTGGGAAGGAGCATTGAAGGTAGACGTGTCATTACGCCAGCAGCGCTTTTTTTACCAAGTATTTTCTCTTCGGTTTGATATCCCGATGAATGTGAATTTCGATTGGTTTGCAAATGCGCAAGTTACTGCTTTCTAGCTCTGTTCAAAACCACGGTTAGGTTATGAACGTTAATAAATCTTACGACATGTTTATTTATGTCTCTGCATTACCCAAAGGTTGACTGGTAGAGACTGCCTCAGGCATTAAGTCCGCCTATACATCATGTTGTATGAAGTTTAATAAATAAAAATATCATATTAATATTTATTACACGTTATTATATATAACGTTATTATATATAAGGATAAGGGTGAAAAACGAGCACACAGTCCAACTGATGGTAAGTGGTTGCTGTGACCCAACAAAGACATCTTGATCTATCCTCGATTATGAATCAGATCAAAATGCAAATGCATTGTTACTCGTGAGGACTAAGATGGAATGCCTCGTTTTCAGAACAAGGGTCTCCGGTTCTCTACACTCACCATACGAAACACAGCAGCATTGAGCTGCTATTTGACGATAGTATTCTGTGAGAGCGTGGTCTTTCCCCGGTCGAGCCGACCATTCGTGCTACAACTATACTGCTAATATAGCTGCAGCATGGTTCGTAAAAAGCAAAGTAACAAGCACGTAAAAAGTAAAAATATCCACCTACCCCATATCGTCCCGTGGGTGTTGTTAAAGGCAACAGAGGGAAAAATCCGCGTTTGCGTATATAATATATATATGTATATATACATATTAATCTTTTACGTAACCCCTTTAAAAGCAACGAATGTGTAGTATTAAAATTCCAAATGATAATGAAGCTCTTTTCGCCAGTTTTTGGTAAAAATTTCCCTCAAAGCATTCTACTTTTGAATTCCGGTGCCTTGATTATGGGAGAAGTATACGGTGCAAGTTGCGGTGTTCTTAATAACAGTTTGTTTATTCGGACATATTATAATATTTTTGGCTTTGAATGCTATTTCTAACTCCATTTTTTGTCATAAACTATTTAACAATAAGAGATGACCATTAAAATCAAACATGGCCGATGTCGCCGTAACGGCGCACTTTTTTCGCGCCCTTTGTCCGCGCGGGAATTTTAGTGTTACTATAGTTTTATTCTGTCCAGTCGGATTGACCAAGCATTGTTCCGTTTGCAAAAATTCTAGCGAGGAATAATTTACAAGGGCGCCGTCAGTATTTTTGGAATAGTTTTCGATTCGTTAGCGGATTAGAATTTTGTTTCAACAGTTCGCTTGAATTGTTTTAGCTCTGTTTGGTTTGTTTATTTTTTTTTCACTGTCGGTTCGCAATGCTTTTCGAAACCTTTCACTTAGATTTTTTTTTGGAACGATGTTCCTAATCGGATGGTACGAATTTGGCGGATGGAGGATAGGCGAGAAAAAAAGTGTAAGAATTTTCCGTCCCCCTTCTGACGTATTCTAGACTGCCTTGGTGGCTATAAGGAAGCGAGATGGAATAATATCCATAAATATATTTTATTTTAAATGACGCCATTAATTCATTTATTTGTATTTGTTAATCAATAATATAATACGTATATTAATAATAATATACTAAGAAAGGAACTTCGTTCCAACCGA